CTGATTTTATGTAAGTTCTTTCTAAAACCTTTTTACAATATTAACGAATATTTTACATTTAATAAAATAAATCAGTTGAAATTGCATAAGTCTTAAAAAAAAATTTATAATATTAATTAATATATATATTTATACAAGATGAAAATGTTTAGGATAATAGTTTTAAAAAATTATGCATGTAAATAAAGAAATTAAAGTTTATATAAAATACATATTCTATACAATAATTCTAAAAAATAATGGATATAAATTCAGGAACTAATATTTAATTCTAAATATGGAAAATAATCAATTGTGATATTCTCACATTTTTTTAGTTCATGACTCTTAAATTTTGAATTTTAAAAAAAAATATATTTTTCAAATATGTGTTTAATTCGTTTCTTAAGTTGTGATGCAGTATTTGATAAACTTGCAATGTGGTTGTCATATTTTATTATTTTTTTCGATATTATTTTATGATGCATTTGATTAAGTTTTTTGTTTTACAAAATATGATTTTTTTTTATTAATGTTTCTACCAGATTAGTGATTTTTTTCGTATTTGTATCTATTTCTTTCATATTTATGATTGTATAAATAGTATGATTTACTTTCGTATTTATAAGTTAAAATTAATAAAATAGCAATTTTATTATAATTCTAAGTCAAAAGTAAATATTTAAATAGACTTTGGCCTAGGAATGTATTATAAATAGTATAAATTAAATATTAAATGAAAATAAATATAGTGATTATATAAATGTTAACTGTGATTGGACAAATTTAAATGAACAGAAATAAAGATATTTATAATAATTCATGATATTGACTAAAGAAACAAAATAGTAGAAGAGTAAGATGGAATAATCACATATTGACAAGAGTGATTAGAAGTGTAGGACTGAATAGTCTCATATTGAAAAGTGATTAAAGTAATATTTTTTCTCACATATCTAAAAACTAAAATAAAGAGTTGAAATTTAATTGAAGTATAATATAAATGCTATTTAATATTATTTCTTTTCATTTTTATTACATTTAAGACAAAAACGTATAATACACCGATATTTCTATGAACGTATGAGTGATTGATACATTAATATCTGTCTGAACGTACGAATATTCAGATTAAAATTTGTGCAAATATATATGTTATTATATTTTTTTTAGAATTATAAAATAAATTAAATTGAATATATTAAATATAATGTATAAATTTAAACACGAGAAAAATATATTTTTTAAATTACTTATATTATTAATATTTTTATTTTGAAAATAAATTAAATTTAAGATATAATATTTTTAAAGATAATATATAAAAAAATAATTTATATATTATTGATGTAATCATTTAATAGATATATATTATTAATAAAAAATGTTATTTTTATGAGAATTGTTTTTTCTCGTGAATAATTATTTCACGAAAATTTTGCGAACAAACAAATGTCTACAATATATTATCTTTTGATGAATTATGGTGAAGATTAAATATTTTATATAATATTCACAAACAAGTTTGAGAGGACTATTTTTTAGATTTTTAAATTTAGTAGTAGGTTGAAATATATGTAGATGGATTTACGTTAAGTCGTGATTTTGGGTATGAAATGATGAGGTTGAGTTTCTAGGCAGCACAAGGGCATAAGGAGTAGTAATATTGTATAGATAGATCATAGAGATAACAATTAATTAGTCATTATTTTTTATTTAAATAAAAAATAACTTAAAAGACTTGTATATGTTAATGTATATATTGGATTTACATTGGTGAAGTTCATTGAGAACAAAGTTTTTGTTATCTAAATATTTTTATAAATAATGTCAAGAAATATAATAATTAATATAAGAAAATATACTGTTTAAATATTTTTATATATAAAAAAATTATATTTATAATCTATATATAAATTAAAATATGTATTTATTTTTAAAAAATAAATTCTTTTGATAAACCAATTTTTTCTTTCTTTTTTACATTCTCTTATTATATTCTTAATATATTAAAATAAAATACACATTTAAACGCCGAATTTTAAATAAAATCTCACATAAATGATTTTTAATTAAATTATTTTCTTTTCTCTTTCTAACAAATGTTATTTAATATATTAATTAATATTTAATATTAACTACTCAACCGTTAATTTCAACAAAAATCCAAATTTTTTTTTCATGGACAATATCTATCTATAATTTGTGATGTGCATTGCATGAAGTGAAAATACTAGTTATAAAATAATTACGCCTAACACATTATATTAACGTATAAGTAATCATATCAAAATTCGTGCGAATGTATGGATTATTATATTTTTGTATATTTAAAATAAAAAATAATATATTAATCTAAATACGAGAAAAAAATTATTATTTTTTAATTATTTATGTATCTTATATTATTATTTTCAAATTATTTTTAATTTAAGATATAAAATTTCAAAGAATAATATATGAAAAATTAAAATATATATTATTGAACACTTATAGTAATTATACCAATTAATTTCTCATATAATCCTAGAAAATTTATTTTATAATATTTCCTTAGGTTAATTTTAATGAAATGTATTTATTTTTTTAATTTTAGTACTTTCAATTTTGTTTCTGATTTTTTTAGATACAATTTAATATTAGTTATTTTATTTTTTTCTATAAAATATTTATTAATTTTAATATATTTTTTTTAATTAAAAAATTTACAATCTAAAACAAATTCGTGTTCTATATGAAAATCTGTGTGAATGTATTAGTTTTTCACTGATAAAAAGTAAACATGTCTTATAGTACATAGTAAAGGATTAGAAATAAATTGGTATTAGTGAAAAATCAAAATTTGTATTCTGGGTGTTTTGGATATGTTAGAAATAAAAATGATGAAACAAATATGGAGAACAATCTCAACATGCATATCCAAACTTACTGAAATTTTCACTCTTGAAGTAAAAAGACATCCGAAATATGAAAAGAAAATCCAGCCATCTATTTATCCTTAATTTATAGAATTGCGTCACCAAATAGTGGAGGGCACATGCAAAATCAGCACGTATGCTGTTCAATCAAGCACATGCTTGGTCATTTACTACTCAAATTCCAATTGAAAATGAAAGTACTAAAGTAAAGTAAGCATCTAGAATTGAATGGAAATAGCTTATCCGGGCCTTAAAGAAACAAAACAAACATCACTCGTTCCGTTTCAGACAAGTAAAACTCAGAATCATCAATTGTCACTATAGAGAATTTATTTTCACACTTAATGTATTTCTTCAGGACTTTTGCCCAAACTTCTAAAATACTTTAGAATTTAGAAGTATATATCCAAATTAATTAAATTTTAAATTTTATAAGGATATTTTTGGATACATATATTCGAAATAATTTAATATTTTATTTTTAAGGAGTTTCGAATATATATATTTCAGGTTTTTAAAAATGTTTTTAAATATGTATATTCGAATAATTTAAAATTTTGTCTTTGAGAATTTTCACATATACATATTCAAAGTATTCCAACAATTAAAATAAATGTGTATCAATTCCAACCATTAAAATTAAGGTATATCAATTATATTAATTATATTACTTTATCAATTATTTTCATAAGTTTTATACATTTTTACTGTGTTAGAAATAAAAAAAAATAATATTTATTTACATATAAATATTTATTTAATATAATAAATTTTTAATTAAACATAATAATTAATTATCAATTTTATAATAATAATTAAATTTTTTTATCTAAATTAAATTTAACTTTTAAAATTATAATTAAAAAATATTTCTTATATTTTTATCAAACATTATTCATAATTTTAAATAAAAAAATTGAAAGACAATTACATTTCATCATATAATTAGAATTTAATTATTGTATTTATTATTTAATTCATATGATAAATTTATTTTAATATTTAATATTTAATTATATATTTAAATTATTTTTTATTATTAATAATAACTCAATTTAATTATATTATAACTATACTATGATTAATATTTTTTCAAAAAAAATAAAAAGAAATTTGGGATATTGAGATTATTTCGGATATGCATATTCGAAATCTTTCTGAAAATGAAAAATAAAAATTTCTTCGAATATGTATATCCAAAATAATTCAATATCTCAAATTCACAAATGCGTTCGGAAGTACATTTTCGAAACATATTTTTAATTTTTCAAAAGTAATTTTTACCACTATTAAATATAAATAGAAATTCTCCTAAAATAAGCTCCACCAACCAAAACAACCAACAGTAAGAACAACATTACCAAATACAAACCCAATTTCAAAATATCTTCCCTTTTAAAATAACTGTAATTTTTTCACATGGATTACTATTTTAAAACATTAATTTTTATTAAATTAATTTTATTAATTTGTTAAAAATAGTATACTAAATAATAATTAAAGGATAAAAAAAATAATGACAAATATTTTAAAATAAATTTTATATTTATTAAAATAATAATTATTTTAAAATAAAAAAAAAATAACAACAAAAAAATAAACAATAAAAATTAAGAGTTCAGTTAACTGAACTCGGATGAATATTGTGCAGAAATATCACACTACCGAGAAGTTTAATCCACAGTATTTCATTTAAAAATTATATCAATAATATATTATTAAAAAATAAAATTATATATATTATATAGAAATAACGAACAATAAATTGCGTTACTTAAGTTTTAAGAGATATAATATTACTATACATCATCATTTGCATTCTCTCTATAAAAGATTTTTTGCATATGATATTAGAAAATAAAAAATAAAAAAGATAAATGATAGGAAATCATATTACTAATTGAGAAGGTTTTTCTTATAACTTTATTTAAAAGAAGTTTGAAAGTAAATAATAATAATAATAATAATAATGAAATTATAAATACGTGTTGGTAGTAGCATATTCGTCTGAACCAGTCGAGAAGAAGAGTAACAGTGTCAGTTAGTCTGGTTGGTGCAGCTAACTAACGACTCCCTCACCACCGCTCTTCATCCTTCACACAGATGAGTTTCTGTCCGTGTTTTGGCGATGAAAGATCCGAACCGCCACTAGCGGACCGTGACCCGGTTCTACTTGTCTCAGGCATGGGTGGCTCCATTCTCCACTCAAAGCCCAAGAAATTCGGATTAACCACTCGTGTTTGGGTCAGAATCTTCCTCGCTGACTTAGAATTCCGAAAGAAGATTTGGTCACTTTACAATCCCAAAACAGGTACCACCACACTATACTCTACTTACTATGATTATTCACTCATTTCTCACGTTTATTTCACATCAATTTTCAGGTTATACTGAAACTTTAGACAAGAAATCTCTTATTGTTGTTCCTGATGATGATCACGGTCTCTATGCAATTGATATTTTGGATCCATCATGGGTAATAAATAAACCTCAAAACTAAATCATATATGGTGGTTAGTTGTGACATTTTGTTATGTTAATCTTCTACAAAATGTTATTAACCATGTATTAGAGTGGTGTTCATGATTAATTCGGATTTTTAAATTTTGTTTTATTTTTCTATAATTTAGTCAAATGTTTCTTTTATGTTATGTGTGGCTGCAGTTTGTAAAATGTGTGCATTTGACAGAGGTGTATCATTTTCATGACATGATTGACATGCTTGTTGGATGTGGGTATGTTAAAGGAACCACTTTGTTTGGATACGGATATGATTTCAGACAAAGCAATAGGTAATGTGGTTTTATAAACATCATTCGGTTTGGTCAGTGGATTCAAACATTCTCCCACTTAGTTTTGGTTGCTCTCTAGTTGTTGTAGTCGATTGATTATTTAAATGAAAGAATTTTTGAAAAAGTTGAGTTGCAGCAACCTGTTTCAACTTATATTAGAGGCTTTCATTTGGAGGACTTGTATTCATTGCAACATCATTTCGACCTTTCGATTCTTACACGTGCTTATTTTGTGGTTGTTGATAGGATGGAAAAGTTAATGGATGGCCTTAAACTCAAGTTGGAAACTGCTTACAAAGCCTCTGGTGGAAGAAAAGTCAATATAATTTCACACTCCATGGGAGGGGTTATGATCTTGTGTTTCATGTCACTTTGCAGAGATGTGAGCGTAGTTTTTCTCCATCACTATTTATGAAATTTGTGCTATTTCTGCAATGTATAGTTAAGAAAATTAAACTGGAACTGGCAGTTATTTATGTTGTTTGTTGGCAGGCATTTTCAAAATATGTGAATAAGTGGATTGCCTTGGCCTGCCCTTTCCAAGGTAATCCTTTTCCTCTGTTTTTATGTGCTTTCCTTTTCTTTGCTTTAATTTGTCTAGTACTAAATAGTCAATTTGTTGGTCCATGGTTCAAAGTTTAAAAATATTTGGATATAAAACACGCCCTTCTTGGTAGCCATGTGATGGTTAATTTACAAGTGAAGTTCATGAGATGAATTGAAAAACATTCTTAATAGTACTTAATGTAATGATAATTGTGCCATTCTATGACTAATTATATTTATCTTCCATTCTTATTTGATTCCACGTGAACAGGAGCCCCAGGGTGCATCAATGATTCTCTATTAACTGGATTACAATTTGTTGAGGGCCTAGAAAGCTATTTTTTTGTATCAAGGTGGACTTTTCATCAATTGGTACATTCTTATTCTTGGTTAATTTCTCTGTTATTGTCTGAATTGAATGTGGGATAAAGGATAATACTTTTACCAACAAAAATTTCCAATGCCCTTTCAAAAGTATTTATCATTGCCTAGGAAGCGGCCAATCCAGTTCATTTGAACTGTCTCTTTGAACGAGTTGGACGTGGACCAGGCTTGAATCCTTTGGAACTAGTGGATATGATCTGCATACAAGACGGAATAGCACTCTGTGGGATCTCCTCCCTTCTACAACCCATTTGAAATTTCTAACCAAGTCATTAAGGCTCCTCCGCACTGATGAACCTCTTGGGCGCCTGTAATAGCGATCCACTTTTGTCTGCAGATCATGTCCTCATGTTACTGAGATACAAAGCTTGGTCACCATTCAACTCATTCCTTTGAGAATGGTTGCAATTTTTATGCTGTGTCTAACTTGTTTTAAAACCACTAAATTTTTTGAGATAATCTTATCACATTAGCTAGTCGAGTGTCCATCAATCTATGAGATGTTGGCAAATCCGGATTATAAATGGAAAAAGATGCCAGAAATTAAAGTTTGGCGAAAGCTTACAAAGGATGGGAATGAACACATCAATTTGGAATCTTATGGACCAACCCAGAGTATCTCTGTATTTGAAGAAGCGCTGAGGCACAATGAGGTATTTTATTTGAACTTTTCTTTAGTTTCATAAATGTAATGTGTATGGTCGGTCATATATGCTTTGAAAATGTTCTAGTAATTCATGTTGTGATCCTTTGATCTTGCTTGCTTGATTACAATTCTATTAAGTATTTTGTTGCACATGTAGGATCATGCTTGAAGTTTAATATAGATATTAATCAATGATTGAGATATAATAAATACTATTAAAATAGATAAATAAACTATAAGATCATATAAAAACTAGTGAATTCACATATAACTAATAATATTATAGAAGTTCTGTTAAACCTTTGAAGATACGTCAGTTTTATGATGGAAAATTTGTTTTTTAGTATTGTTATTTTAGAAAAAGAAACTTCATTATCATTTTTAGTTATTAGATTTTGAAAATTTTATATTCAACAATGAAACAAAATAATATATTAATTTTTGAACCATTTATAAGAATGCATCTTCAAGATACTTTTAATCCCTTTTGTTTGTTCTGGTTGTTCTTGAAGATTAATTGCCTTCAGTTTTTCTGTCATTTTCCCTCATGTATCCTTGACAGTGGTTTGGAGGATAAAACTTATTTGGAGGATAAAACAAATTCTCCCTTTTTTTAGGGAAAACATTTTTCTGTAAAATTTCCGCATTTAAAGTTGTTCATCTATGACTACAGTTGGCTGTCATTAAGAGAAGGGAAATAAAAGGTTAGCTATAAATAACTATAGCTGATTATTATGTAATTATATTATTGAAATACGAGAGATTAAGAGACATTTGAATAAATCGTGTGTCTGAATAGCACAGCGGAAGATATATTATATAGGAGAAAATACAAATCCTAGTATTAATGACATAGATGTTCTATTCTATTCTAGAATACACTAAGGAATATTCTAGAGAATATTCTCTTTATATACATATACATATATAATTATCAACACTCCCCCTCAAACTTGAGCATTTAAGTCAAATGCACTAAGCTTGTTACATATATAATTGGTTATGGGGCTTCGAAGGGATTTTGTAAACACATCTGCCAATTGATCATTCGAGTTGACAAAGTTTGTGGCAATATTGCCTGACTCGATCTTCTCTCTGACAAAGTGACAGTCTATCTCAATATGTTTGGTCCTCTCATGGAAGACCAGATTTGAAGCAATGTGCAATGCAGTTTGATTATCACAAATAAGTGTCATTGGTCTTGCTTCTTCAATTAGAAGTTCCTTGAACAACTGATTTAACCAAATAAGTTCACATGTTGCCATCGCCATGGCCCTATACTCTGCCTCGACGCTTAATCTTGCAACTACATTTTGTTTTTTTGCTTTTCCAAGATATAAGGTTTCCTCCAACAAGTACACAATACCCAGAAGTGAATCGTCTATCAATGGGTGACCCTGCCCAATCACCATTGGAGTATCCAACTATCTGAGTGTCCTTTGTCTTCATACACAAGACCTTTTTCTGGAGCACACTTGATGTATCTTAGAATCCGGACAACAACATCCATGTGTTCCTGACAAGGAGAATTTAAGATCTGACTTACCACACTAACTGCAAAAGAAATGTCCGGACGAGTGAGTGTGTGAGATGATTCAACTTTCCAACCAATCTCCTATACCTTCCTGGGCCGGATAGATGCTCCCTCTGATTGGGTAGCAGTTTGACACTTGGATCCATAGGAGTATCAGTTGGATTAGCATTCAACAACGTTGTTTCTTCCAAAATATCCATAGCATATTTCCCAAGAAGTAACGGAGTTTACCGAGATCTTTTGTCTTAAATAGATTCGAGAGATGTTGTTTCAACTGGAGTATCCCCTGCTGATCATTGTCAGTTATGACAATATCATCTACATATACAATAAGATAGATACATCCTTGAGAAGAGTGACGATAAAATACATAATGGTTAGCTTCACTACGGACCATATTAAATTGTTGTACTATAGTGTTGAATCTATCAAACCAAGCTCTCGGAGATTGTTTAAGACCATAAAGAGACCTGTGTAGCCTACAAACCATATTCGAGGACTCTCCCTGAGCAACAAACTCAGGTGGTTGCTCCATATGTACTTCCTCTTCAAGATCACCATGTAAAAAGACATTTTTGATGTCAAGTTCATGAAGAGGCCAATGTCGAATGAATGCAATGGCTAGAAGAAGTCTAACAGATGCCATCTTGGCTATAGGCGAGAAGATATCATTATAATCCAACCCAAAAATCTGAGTGTATCCTTTGCCTACCAAGCGAGCTTTAAACTAATCGATCTTACCATCTGGTCCAACCTTCACTATATAAAGCCAACAACAACCTACTACAAATTTTCCAAGGGGTAGAGGTACTAGTTCCCAGGTACCACTGCTTTGACGAGCACACATTTCATCTATCATTGCTTGCCTCTACTCAGGGTGAGATAATGCTTCACCTGAAGTGTTAGGAATAGAAACAGAAGACAAAGAAGACAAACAGTTATACTGCAAAGGGGAAAGACGATGATAACATAAATCAATATACTTTGGAGAAGGATTGCGTGTTTGACGTATACATTTTCGAAGGGCAATCGGAAGATCGGACTCAGGTTGCAGGATCGGATCTGATGATGGCGAAGGCGTCAGAGGAGAATCTGCAAAAACCTGAGGAACAGGTACTGCCTCTGGGATATGTACGACAAACATGGGTTGGCGATGTTGATATGTTTGAAGTGGGTGAGAAACCGTAGGGTTTTCTAGTGGGTCGGGTTCCCTAGGATGATGGAGGATGCTGGGAAATAGGACTTCCGGAAGAGGTGTGGGAGTACTTTCCTGAAGAGGTTTCAGAGTTACTTGGCTGAACTCGAAATATGGAACAAACTCGAAGAAGGTAATATCGGCCGATACGAGGTATCATTGTAGAGTATGTGACTAGCAACGATAACCCTTTTGGGATCGATGATAACCAAGAAAGACACACTTTAGTGATCGAGCTGATAGTTTTTCAAGACTAGGGGAGAGATTGTGTACAAAACACGTAGACCCGAAGACTCGAGGAGGAATTGGGTGAAGAGGATAGTTTGGAAACAAGATTGAATGAGGGATTTTATTATTAAGGACAGATGAGGGCATGCGATTTATGAGGTAACATGTCGTGAGCACAGCATCCCCCCAAAATCGGAGAGGAACATTACCATGGAGAAGTAGGGTCCGAGTGGTTTCTACAAGATATCGGTTTTTGCGTTCGGCTATCCCGTTTTGTTGAGGTGTATGAGGGCAAGATGTTTGGTGGAGAATACCATTACTGGACATAAAAGTTTGAAATTTTTATCACTTCTTAAGGTACGAATAGACACACTAAACTGAGTTTTTATTTCTTTATAAATTTTTTCAAAAATAGAAAATAATTCTGATCTATTTTTCATTAAAAATAACCACGTGCAACATGAAAAATCATTAATAAAGGTGACAAAATACCTAGACTCAAGAGTAGAGACAATACGTGAGGGACCCCAAACATCGGAGTGAACTAAACCAAAAGGGGACGAAACTCGTTTATTGATTCGATTGGAAAATTGACTACTAGTATGTTTTCCTAACTGACACTACTCACAAGTAAATTAGATACCTTCGATAAACTTGGCACCAACTTTTGTAGTTTTGGAAGACTAGGATGACCTAATTGAGCATGGATAGTGAGTGGAGAATCTTTGGTTGAGCATGTCTGAGATGACACTGATAAGTAATAAAGACCTTGAGACTCATATCTGACGCCAATCGTCCGTCCCGAACTACAATCCTGCAGGGTGACATTACTATTAGTGAAGGTGACAATACAATCCAAAGAACGAGTTAAACGACTGACTGAAAGTAAATTAAATGGACAATTAGGTACAAAGAGAACAAAAGTAACAGATAGAGAAGATAGAATTTGAACAGTACCAATTCCTTCGGATTGGGTTTGAGAAACATTGGCAGAAGTTATAGTAGGTAAGAAACCAGAAGTAGAGAGGGAAGAGAAATTTTTTTTTATTACCGGTAACATGATCAGAGTCAGACGCACCAGAATCAAGGACCCAAGGTCCAAGAGAAGATGATTGAGAGAGGCAAACAGGTAATTTACCAGTGTGGACAACCAAAGCAGTAGAATTTGAGTTATGATAATCCTGATACCACCTGAGAAAACCATCGTAGTTTGGCGTAAAGTTCTGAGGAGTAGTCATGAGAATCTGAAGAGAGAAAATATCACACAAACCGGGTGAACAAGACTATGTTTGGACTGGATCACAATTTTTCATGAGTGGAAAATAAAATTTGAGACCGGATCTGGAACAGTTGCATGGTGGCGATTGAGGCGGTGGAAAAATCGTCGGGATCGGAGTAGGCGCTTCTGTCGATAAGATTAGTTTGCCGGAAGGTCGTCGAAAAACAGTAGCAACGGTGGCGGACAGCGGCGGCAGTGCGGACCGAAATTTTTTGAAAACTGATGCCAGAATGAGTCACGGCATTGTATGGAAGGCAAACCGGAGTTATGACACGGTTTGCCAAAAATTTCTCACCGGAAGACATTTGGTCAATTGGGTAAAGCACGGCGAAGGGTTGTCTCTCAGTAGGCTCTGGATATCATGTTGAAATACGAGAGACTAAGAGACATTTAAATAAATCGTGTGTCTGAATGCATTATATAGGAGAAAATACAAATCCTAGTATTAATTACATAAATATTCTATCCTATTCTAGAATACACTAAAGAATATTCTAAGAAATATTCTAGAGAATATTCTCTTTATATACATATACACATATAAATATTAACAAATATATTGCTGCGTACACTGGTTAAGTCGTTAGGGATTTTGGCCCAGTGCCCAATTCCTTGGCCATGCATGTGAGATGTCTGCGTTCAACTACTAACCGTGTCTGAGCAGCTGGCTTGCACGGTTGTCCTGTTCTCAGGTCAGGCTGTTACGTACTTGCATGCCATTAGTAACATGGAGCTAGTTTGGTTCTTTCTTTAATTAATGCCAATGAAAGGCTCTGTTAATTATAAAAACCTTGAAACAAAGAAAGCACATAATTTCTCAAGGTAATTTTCCCGTTAGCCTATACCAAGGACTAATGTTTTTCTTTTTTCTTTTTGCAGCTAAAGTATAACGGGAAATCAACACCATTGCCCTTTAATACAACTATCTATAAATGGGCTACTGGAACTCGTCAAATTATAAGTAATGCTAAACTACCAAACGGAGTCTGCTTCTATAACATTTATGGAACATCATTTGAAACACCTTTTGATGTTTGGTATGTGACTAAACTGCCATTGGAAAGATGTCTTTGAATTAATGATGGTTGAGAGATGGGAAGGTTTGGTAGAAACTGGATCATCTAACAACTGATATTGGGATGTTTATCCATCTTACAACTTTGGTCTAATACTTTTTATGCTTATAATCGATAATCAATACTTTACGTTATGAACTTTCTCGATTAGCAGGTGTTGTCTTGTTCCTTTATTATATTTCAAAAACTTTTTCTTTTTTCATGATTTTGTTCCAAGGAAGAAGGGTTATCTCATCATCATTAAATAAGAACAATCTTATTGCTGACACTGGGTCCATTGTCGTGAGAGTTTAGATGAAATATCCTATGCTAGGTTTTCAACAGTTCTTCCAATATTTTTCTGACATGTCCTGATGTCCATGCCTAATGCAGCTATGGTTCGGAAAAATCTCCAATTGAGGACTTATCTGAAATATGCAAGACATTGGTGAGCCATTTAAATTTCTTAGACTCCAACGATATAGACCACTACTACGATTCTCATATCTTTATTCTCGTATATTTATCCTATGTGTGACTATAAATAGAAGTTTTCACAGTAGTAATGAATGCCATATGGTGTCTGCCTGGCACCCTATGTGGGACTGTATGAGAATGTGAGGTAGGAAAGAGTGAAAAAGCGTGAGATATTCTCTTAGGAGGAAATAAGAGGATGGAGGAAGTAAAAGGTCGGCTATATTCTGTTAGTCATTATTCATGTAATCAATGCTTTGCTGCAAGGGAGTCTCTATTAGTAATAAGCAAGCAGATTGAATAACTTTGCTGCTTTTAGTTATTTTTGACTGTATTTGCTTTTAGTTTTGTCCCCGGGATGACATAATTCTCATTTTTTTCTGATTGCAGTGTGTATTATTCATGTATATGTGCATTGAATTAAAAAATTTCTCTATGGTTTCAGCCTCAATATTCTTATGTTGATGGAGATGGATCAGTTCCTGTTGAATCTGCCAAGGTACTCACGTTGATGTTTCTGTATTTTGTACATATACTTAACTGTAAGGTTGATTTTATCATAACTGCTTACGACGTGGCTATAATGCCAAATTTGAATGTTAAAAGTAAATAATCAGGTCATTCTAGGATTTTTAAGCTTTTTAAGGAAATTATTTTCTGGCTTTTAAAGATTGATGCATTCTGCAGCTGTATGGATATAGGCCAGATAGATTGATATTTTTTGAACTATTTGATGTTTCCTTAATATTGTAGTTCCAAATTTATCTTCTAATATCTATTTGTCTTTTGATGTCACAGGCCGATGGACTTGAAGCTGTTGAAAGGGTAGGAGTTACTGCTGATCACCGTGGATTATTAAGAGACAAAACTGTATTTAAACTTATTCAGAAATGGTTGGATATTGAGCCAGTGGTTAGCAAGCAATCTAAAACATCAAAAGTAGCAGATGCGAATACAATCAATCCTATGCTTCTCTAAATTTGTTTCTTTCAGAAAAACGGGGAATCATATCCACATGCTTGTGTTCCACATCGACGAAAGAAAAGTATTTTACCATGCTATTCTTTTCTAGAAAACATACAACAAACCTGGAAACACCTTAGCTATATTTGATATTTATGCAGCAAACGGGTTGGTGGATGTCCAGTTCAGGTAGTCTAAAACTACTGGATATGGTATAATTTAATTCTGCATCATGTATAGTAGAATTCATTATTGGATAGTGTGTTCTATATTTGGTGATCATGGAGCTATGTGTATCTTTTTCTCTCCCATCTCCAAGACATTTGGCTGCTGTGTGACTTTTCTTAGTCTTAACATGTACTAATAAATGTATTATTATTTGAGCATTTTTATTATTATGCTCTGTTATCAACATGTTTAAATGTAAACTACTTTCCCAGTAAGAAAGACAATTGCTCAAATGAGCACTAAATTATGGTAGGTTTATTCTTACATATTTTTCTTTTTAAATCTCACGGCTTGTTTCATCTTAACATAGCTTAGGAAAATATAAATGGAAAATGCTAGTTGAGAAAGAAGCCCTGTGTTCTTTCAGGAAAATAGAAATGGAAAATGCTAGTTGAAAGAGAAGCTTTATGGAACAAGGTACTGATTTCAAAATATGCAAAATAGGATTTAAAAAGGTGAAAATAGTAATATGTTTGAGACTATGTTGAGTCTCTCAGGCGAATTATGTTGAGTCTCTCAGGCGAATTATGTTGACACACGCGCACACGTTTACGCACATGCTTATGTGCGGACACACACGTTAAAACTCTTCCTCATCTCATAAATCTATAGACGCATCTATTAAGTGTGATCAATGTAATATTTTGAAAAATAAGATTGATGATATTCAAAATACATTTGATAATAAATTCTCTAAAGGGAAATACAACTTGAATCTTTTGTCAGGTAATCAAAGAGCGTCTTACAATAAGGATGATCTTGGTTATGAACCTAAGAATAATAATAAAAGTTTTACCAATATTTTGCAATGTCCAACAAAAATTTAAATGCAATACTCTAAAATGCACTTACTGTAATAAAGACGGCCACATTGTCATGTGTTTTTTTTTTTTTTAAATCAAAAAGAGTCACGAGAACAAAGAAGGACATCCTCCTTTATACTTTTATAAAGAGAAAGATGTCTATTATAATATGTATTCCACTAACATCAAAGGATCCAAAAAGATTTGGATACCAAAGGTAAAAAAAATGAATTGTGATGCATATGATGATATAGACAATTGCTCTTCAAGCTACACAACTGAATAAATAAACATGTCCTATTGTTTCACTCCTACGAAGGAAGAAATTTATTTGCATGATAACAACAAGACAAAATCATTGAACCTTTGATTTTTTGGTAAGATTTCTAATCTTACCCTTTAGTTGTTTTTTAATTATTTAGAGCTTTATTGCACAAGCTACTTAATATGAAGTAAGTTGTGTAACAAAAATAATATAGTATGTTTAACTCCTCTATATGCATACCTATAAAAAATCTTGATCATTTTAAATTTTTTTTCTGAAAAGACCATGTCTATGGAAGAACTCATACATATTACTTTTGGTGAACTAATCTTTAGTAGGTAGAAGTAGAAGTTGTTAATTTTGCAGGTATCCCATAAAAGACATCCTTGAGAGATGAAAATAAAGAGAAATAAAAATATCAAAGACAATAGGAAGTTCAAAGTCCAAATAGAGTAATTCAAGTTAATGAAGTCAACTTAAGAAAGTCTATCTTAAGAACAGAGGATCATTAAAGACCATCCCATTCAGAATGTTAATGAATATATTTTTAAGGGAATAACATCTCAACACTCCATTGGCAAGGTATGTAATCATATGGATTTTGTTTCACAAACTGAGAAAAATGAAATTGATGGAGCTATCATCAAAGAACATTGATCTCTTGCTATGCAAGAAATGTTAAATCAATTTGAGAGAAACAACGGTTGGGAACTCGTTTCCAAAGCTAGTTGAGTGATTGGAACCTTAGTGGATCTTTCATAACAAGCTTGATGTGTTTGCAAAAGTTTTGAGAAATAAAACAAGACTCTTTACAAAAGATTACAATCAACAACAAAGCATAGATGTCAATGAAACTTGTAGTGTTATATTTGTAGAAGTCCTAAATCAGGGTGCCCTTGCCCAGGAATCAGGTTGCCTAGGCGATAATTTGGAAACCCACCCATAGGTATCTCTGACGAGTGAGTCAAGAAAGAGGGAGTCTCCACTAACTCCTGAAAGATATGTGGTCAATAACTTCCACTAATAAGAAGGGAGCGGTTAACGCCACTATGGCTAACTCAAACCCTAGGTCCAAGACGATGTTCAAAAGGGTAGGTAAGGCGACATAAAACTTCACAACTTTGAACACTCACTGTGAACAAATATGGCGCAAGGTACTTCACTTGCACAACTTTCCTACGCCGCCTGCCCTAAGGTCGATGTGATGGGCTCTGAACTAGGAAGATGGTAAAAGTTGAAGGGGTAAGAAAACACTTAGAAGGGGGGTTGAATAGGTGACTCTTTTTTAGTTTATCAAAACAAAGCTCAAACAATAATGGAATAACACAGTTATTTTTATCCTGATTCATTTGAACTCAAACTACTTCAGTCTACCCGCCAAGGTGATTTCGCCTTTCTAAACAAGGACTTAATCCACTATAATCAACTGATTACAATCACACAACAACTGTTGTGACTAACAATGCACAGGTAAACTTACAAGTGACTAACACTACTAAGACTTAAATCTAGTCCTAGTCTGCTTGAGAAATCTGACCAAGCTTGGTCTCTCAAGGAACCAAATACAGGAGTTTAATCTTTACAGATAATGAAATAGAGTTTGCTTCTTATCAAGCTATATCACAACTGTGATTTTTCACTTAGAATCTAATACACAAATTGTATGAACAATGAGTTTGTGAGCTTTTGGATCTTTCACGTAGTTTCTTGCTTCTTTTGAAAATTTGATTTGTTTTCTTGGTTCACATCAAAAGTGCTTGGCTTGCAATAAATGTCCTTCTATTTATAGTAGGAACAATAAGACCATTGCCGCCTTCAGAAAAGATGGAGAGCATTAAATTCTTTGCGTGTATCCTTGCAATATTCCATTTTCCAAGAAACTAGTTGTAGGCACTTGAGTGCTTTCAGCCGTCTTTGCATTAATGAGCAAACGTCAGAATGTAAGAACGTGTTTCCTTTGCTTTGACAAGATAAGTTGGTTTAAACGTTGTTTCAGAATTTGCTTCCAATGTCTTTAAGTCAGAACATGCTTCATTCAACTTCTGGGCAGAGCGTTGCTTGCTAAGAACTTTGAATAGCGCTTGCTTTCAAGTTATCTTCTGAATCAAGGAGCCTGCTAGAAGTTAGAAGATATATTTAACAAATAAAGGTTCTTACCAGAGTCAGCAGATGCGTTTGAATAAAAGGTTCTTTTATCAAAGAACTTCTTCATAATCTTTGCTTAGTACTTTAGAATGTTTTCTGTCAGAACATTAACTAAGACATTCAAAACACATTCATCAGAGCATAAATTATCTTAAATATAATTTAGTTATCATCAAAACTCTTGAGATAGGTCAGAACTAATCTTGTTCTTTCAATCTCCCCCTTTTTGATGATGACAAAAAAATTATTTTAGATAAAGAAAAGAAACGGATTAAGAGATAAGAATCTCCCCGTGAAATGAATATTTCTATGCATAAGACATCCTAAGATTATTTAGTCAGAGTAATACACAGCCTTCTTGAATTTCTTCAGAACTTCTTCAAGATGATAAATCTTAGCTGGAATATTCTTTCAGAGTTAAAGTGATACCTGCAAAAAAAATTCTTTTGCACAGAAGGAATTCTTGCAAATTTGTTAGAATGTCTGAGACTTAGTCCCATAACTGTTAAACAGTGATTAGTTCAAGAATGTACATTTTCTCCCCCTTTTTGGCATAATCAAAAAGTGTAATAAATGAGAAATTTTGAAATATTTCATAAAAAAAATATAGATATCCAGAAGTACAAACAAAACATCCAAATAAGAGACAAAAAGAAACTAGGGTTTCTTAGTGACAAGAGCCATCAGAAGATTCTTGATTTCAGAGGCAGATTCGTTTTGTTTTGCCATCCAGTTCTTGATCTCTAGATTTGTTTGATCTTGCTTATCCATGCGTTTATTCAAGACTTCATTCTCCTTTTTTAGCTCTTTCAGAGTGTCCATAATGAGTGAGGTAGGAGCAGAAGATGATGAAGCTTCAGTAGAAACAGGCTCAGAAGCAACAACTGTTGAGTCAGACTTTACAAAGGTGGAAAGCAGAGTGCCCAGATCTATTGCAAGAGTTGGCACAGGTTCAGGTCCAACCTTAACTGAAGGTTGATTCAATAGAATAATAGCCAGAGGATTTGAATCTTCATAGGATTCTTCAGATTCATCTTCTGATATGTCCATCTTATCAGCTGGTGTATCATCAATCATTAGCGAAGACTTCTTATTCGAAGTGTCCGCAGCTTTTGTCTTGAAAGCATGCAGAAGTTTGGAAAAGTTGTCCAGCACTTGAGAATGGCACAAATCCTGTAACTTCCGTGATTCAGCAACCAAAGTTCTTCTGAAGATTTCCCATAGAAGATCTGTTGCTGCTGTGTTCACACTTCTGGAGCAATCTTCTTTCAGCGGTTGTAACCATGCTTGAACATTTGTTATAAAATTCTGAAACAAAGTATATACATCTGGCTGAACAGGTTTAGGGACAGCCGTTCTGTAAGTTTTGTTTTTCAAGAATTGTAGAGATTGAAAGTCCACTACAGTTCTTAAAAAGCTATTGGGTTCAGGATTATTTGTAGGTTCAGGTTCAGGTTGGTTAACACAAATAGGAGGTTCTGATATTTCATGAGGTACGGATGGTTCAGCAGTTTCAGTTTGTTCAAAAGGTTGTTTTTCTGGAATTTGAGGAGTTGAGAGTGGTGTTGTATGTTGTGGTGAAGTGGGTGGAGTGACATCAGGCGAAATTATTATTGTATAAGCAGGAGTGGGAATGGGATTTTGAGGCTGTGGTTGATTCATAGCAAAAATATTCTCAGATGGTAGGTTGAAATGAGGTTTTATGGTTGCTAGAGGTTCATTTATCCCTGGAATTCTGCAAGATCCAACATCATACCATCCAGTGGGTCTAGGTGATAGAGGTCTGGAAGGGGGTCTTGAAAAACGTTTAGTAGAAATAGGTTGAAAAACAGATGGTTCAGGGGGTTCTGATTGAGAGGGTTCTGATTGGCTGTCAAAATGTTCATCAGAGTCAGAATCACTTAAATCTGTTGAAAACTGATTTTTACGAGGGTTGTCAGCAAGGGGTTCAGATGGTAAGGTCTGATCAATGTCAACATCTAAGTCTCCTAAGGTTTTGGAAAGTTCAGCAGATGCAGATACATTTTCAGA